TAAAAAAAAAAATTATAAATGAAAAACAAAAGAACAACACATTACATACAAAAACTAAACGAACCTGGTTGTTATTTGAATATATGCACAATATATTTACAAGATGCAAAACAACACGAGACCTTTTAAATTTTGAAATCAATTATCTATATTATTATGCGAAAAGAAAATAAAAACAGTTACCACAAAACGTGCAATATTTTTATGGGTTAGCATTTTCCACCAAATTATTATATATACCAAAAGAGAGGAGAATAATAATTGTTTATTGGTCATAATTTCGGTTTTGTCCTTGCTTCTTTTCCCCTTTCTTCTCCTGTGATGGGTTTGGTGGTTTGTTCATTCACTGTTCATCAGATCTCAGATTCACTGTTCCTTTGGACAGTGGAAAACCGGTTCAGCCCTTGGTCTGTTATATACCAAAAGAGAGGAGGAAAATCATTGTTCATTATACAGTGTTATAAATAGTGTAATTCTGGTTTTGTCCTCCTTCCACTATTCATCCTCTCTCAGATTCACTGTTCCTTTGGACTGTGAAAAACCGGCTCAGCCCTTCCTCTGTGAAATGTCCTCCTCCTTTCTCTTCTCTTTTTGCTTTGCTGGGCAGGGACTTTTTCGTTTTAACAAAAGGTCGCAAGCCAAGTCAAAATAATAATAATAATAATAATAAAAGAAAGATACCAACGCCTTTCTAAAAATAAAAACGAAGAAGATATTTGGTTCATTGATTAAAATTATGTGATTAAAATTATTTTTAATTTACGTGTATTTTTTGTGAGAGAAAACGAGGATGTTTGGTTGGAGGATTCAAATCATGTGATTCGAACCATTTTCGATTTACGTGAATTTTTTGTGAGAAAAAATACTGTAGCGAACCATGAATCATGATTCGAATCAGGAAACGAATCCATCCACCAAACATCCCTTATGTGATTAAAATTATTTTTAATTTACGTGTATTTTTTGTGAGAGAAAACATTGTAGCGAATCATGAACCATGATTCAAATCATGGTTTGAATCATTCAACCAAACGAAGCTGAAATGTTTTCTGTAACAAGACAACGACTCTTTTTTTTGTCCATTTATTTTTGTTGAAATATTTGTTTGTCGTAATCCCTATTAAACAATGTACAAGAAGCTCATTTATTTTTCTAAATCTTTTATGAGACGTTTGTTCTTTATATTCGTCTCTAATTTTGAATCATAATTCATAATTTTATACAATATTTTTTTCTCATAAAAAATACACATATAACGAGAATGGTTTTAAATCCATGAACCAAACGTCTACTTAATTTACACTATATATAATTAAAAAATTTTCAATCTCCCTAATAATTATCACTATTTTTTAAAAAAATTGTATTTTGCAATAGTTCTGAAGGACAAAAAAAAAAGGAAAACAAGGAATGTAACACAAACTTTTCACTAAAATTTTATATAAATATGTCTACATATATATATATATATATGAATATATAAATTAATACTACACCATAAAAATTTTTAAATTTATGTATAATATAACAGTTTTTCCCGCAGTAACGCGCGGGTGCATGACTAGTTCGATATCTAAACGTAGTAAAAAATCCTTCAAAAAAAAGCATAGTAAAAAATAAAGAGCTAATAAAAAAGGGCAAAAAGACGTATTTTGTTTCATTTTAAATATTTTGCTATATTCATAATATTCTGAAAATGTTGCTAAATTCCAATTTAAAGTTTGAAATTTTGCTATGTAGTGTAATTATCTCCTTTTTCTTTCCTTTTCTCTAAGTTGACTCTCATAAATATATTTTCTTTCTAATTTTTCATTGCAATAATTTTTCTCATACATATCTCTGTCGAATTTTTTCAAAACTCTCTTCCCTCACTAATGAAACATTTATGTTCCATGCCTTTGTTTTCTTGTTTTTGGTAAAACATTTTTTTAATCTTTTGCCTTTGTTTTTCTTTTTTCTTTTTGTCTTTATTTTTCCCTTTTATTTTCTTCTTTATGTGTTCTCTTATTTTCATTTTTATCTTTTATACCCTAATATACATTATTTTTTTCCTCCAAATTGACCCTCATAAATATATTTTTCTCTAATATCTTATTAAAATAATTTTTCTCACACATATCCATGTCTATTTTTTAAACCCTCTTGCTCCACTAACAAAGCGTTTTCTCCCTTAATTTTTTGTTTTGTTTTTGCTTTGTTTTTTTTGTCCTCCCTCCTTTCTTTCATTTACCTTTTTTAGTAATTTATTTTTGTTTATTCTCACTTTTTTACTCCTTTTTTGTTATCTCTGAGAAAAATATTTACAGGTTAAATATCATACATAATGCTATTAAATTTTTTACAGAATACCTGCATGTTTGTGCGCAGATTAAACTAGTATCCTTAAAAGAACGAGATATATATATTGTTGGAAAAAACGGCATCGAGAGCGCAGTGAAATTTTAAAAAATTTAAATCAATGCCAAAGCCAATCAAGAACATGTTCATGATGCTATATAACATAAACACTAAAGATCTAAATCATACCTTTGAGATTTAGGAAATTGCACATCTGACATATCAAAGCGTTCCAAGCAGCAACCGAAAGAGCCTCAACCAACTGGTCTTCTTTGCTATTCTCGTTTTCACGATCGGAGTGTAGGTGGGCACACGTCGTTCAATCTCCTCTTGGTATTCTTGAACTCCTTCTAACCACAAGAGAGCCAAAGAAAAAATTGTTCTTGAGAATTAAACAATTTTTCCTCTCAGGAATATTTTGTCAATAGCCTCCAAAAAGTCTCTCAAGTGATCTAAATCAATAATGTGACTTAATGAGGTATTTATAGTGTTTAGGAAGTCATATTTCCGTAAAAATTATGTTTTCTAAAGTTTATCTCGCTTACAGAGTCGGTTTCGCCATATTAGCACTCGTTACATGTTACAACCGATCGACCAGTGACAGAGACGTTATAACTCACCGGTCGACCGGTCTTCATGAACCGGTCTACCCGACCGGTCGACTTGTCTGAACTAGTGAAACTTATTTTCCTAGTTTTTCAACACGGGAAACTTGCATAGAGCCTCAATTTTGATTCAAGCAATCTAATAGAGAAGATGCCTGATCAAAATAGTCTTATAATAGTCTTCCCATATTAAAAAAACTTTTAAAACAACAATTCAACCAATTTATCTAGAATTAATTTATCAATTAATTCACCCGATAAATCACTCATGAATTAACCAATCTCATATTAACTTTGAACCTCTTTTACAGAAATAACACAAGTTACCAATATGTAGGAAATACACCGTATCGTTACAGGAAATCATATGAGCTAGCAAAGGGACCCAATGGACATAGATCAATCAAGCTCCTATAATCACAACGCTAATTGTAAACTAACAAGTCCGTCTCACGATTATAAAACTCTAGCGCTACTCCACTAAAAGCCTAGAGCTGCACTCTCGATTTATATAGCGTATTTACAAAGTTCTGAATAGCTCTCGTCCATGACTCAATATATTAGTGTATCATCCCTATAAGATTTTTATAATCGACTTAAGGTCAAGTTCCGTTTTACCTTCCAAATTACATTTATCTTATGTTCCATTATCACACCATCAGAAAACCACTATTCGTACCATTACAAATAGTAAACCATTAGATAACACAGAGTAGTCTAATGGTCGAACGCTCGTATTTTCCAATCCACAGATAATGCATAAGATGATATCATTGACTCTTTATAGGAGCTATGGATTCCACTATCTATGAATAACGAATCTACGCATACACAAGTCATACCCCCAATGTACCGATAAGCGTACCTTTACATAATGTCAAGATGTCTCCATTTGGTACATCAAAAGATACAAGTCAAGCATACGGGCTCATTATCCATCTCAGGATTAAGATGACAATATATAATTCGTCAAAATTGAATTAGTTTACTCAAACAAAATTATTAATTAAAACAATTCAACTTTGGTCCGATCCAATATAGATTTCATCATTAGAAACTGTTAGATATGATGTTACGTCTGATGTCCCAGATGATGTTAGAACAGTTATCTGGGACACTACTTGCACAATTTTCTATACCGATTAATCCTAAGTCACAAAGAACATTAGTGCAATAAAAAGTAAATGAACACGCAATATGGTATCGCAGTTTAGTGCGCACACCTACTATGTTGGGCCACGCCCAGACAGTAAACAGTTTCACTATGATTTAAGAATTACAACCCTGACGGACTTAATCACTCAAGGACTCCCTCCTAGACTATAACGCCGCTGTGATGAACTCCCACAATGACACTGTTTAGCGTGTACCACAAGTCTTCACCTTTCACTACTGAACTCACTTTAGTTGTTCAAACTTTCAACGTGAAACACACAACTACAGATTGTTCTTCTTAATCATTGTCTTTCTATAACTAGACTTTTCTGTAGTCAACAACCTCTCTCATTTCTACAGAGCTTCTCCCATATAAAACCATTCCACGTATCTATGACTTTTGAACCTCTAACTATTACCAAAAAATCCTCCTCAGCATTATCTACAACATCTCACTTTTTGAGTTTTTAATTCCAAAACTCACAGAGTCACCTTTTCAAAATTCAATGAATCAAATCTCCTCAGGAGATAAAACCAACAGCTGATAAAGGATGACCTCATGATCCGTATTAGCTTAGCCTTATCCGATTTACCATAAGCTGATCTTTAAGTCAACAAATCTGATTTTTCTGCACAAAATCTGATTCTTCTTCAAAACAAACAGCCATCTGGATAATGTCTTCTAGAACCTAGTTTTTGAATCTATACAACTAAAAACTATTTTGCCAACACAGCCAATTAACAAAAAACAAAAACCTAACAATCTCCCCCTTTGACTGTTTTTGGCAAAACTGACCTTAACACACAAAAGTCCCAAATTGACAGAACGAAACTTACAAAAAGCTATACATAGTAACTACTCCCCCTTTTTGACAAAAACACTGCCAAACAAACACAACCACATCATTCTGGAGCAGACTCTGGTGCAGCTTCTGGAACGGATGATGTAGCAAGTAAATCTGCCAAGAAGGCCGCAGTTTCCCTATTCCTTTGAGCTATTTCCCTTTGTTCTTGCGCAAGGGCCTTCTCCTGCTTGGTGAGCCGTGCCAATTCCTTTTGTAGAAACAAAATGGTGCGATGGTGCTAAACAGTAGCAGCTGTGTGACCTGATCCCGATGCAGCAGAATGTCAGAAACACTATCCCCCTCAACTTCTGCTCTATTGCAATCATTCTCCCCCTGCACGTCATTCACATGCTTGCATTCTCTAAGCTTCTGAGAGATTCTAATTGGTTTGGTGGGTAGTTCCAGCACATCCTCAGGAGTCCTAATGTTCTGTTGAGACATTAAAATTCCATATACAAATGAAGGAAAAGGAAGAGCTGGTTTTGATGAGGTGACTTCTGCATGGCTGACAATTTCTTCAAAGATGAGCAAACCAACATCAAATGGGACAACTGTTCCGATGAAATAGAGCACATTGGCCAACTGCTTGTGTACACCGGTGGTGTGAAAGGTGGGTAACCAATTCTCCACAGCAATCTTGTGCAGAGCTGAGTATTTCAAACTCAAATCTGCAGCTGGGAAACTAGTTTCATTATTCCATAGACACCGAACACTAGCTGTTAATTCTGAAATTACCTTGTCAAAGTCAACTTCAAGGTTTGAGGACTCCATATGACTTTCAAAGAAAACATTGATCCCTGTCGGTGAGAAGTCAAATTTGGTTCCGCACACTAGCACCTTGTGAAATGTGGCAGAGCGTGGGTCCTTAATCGCTTTTAGCAAATTGGAATAAAATTCCACCACAATGTTTTTGACGAATGGTTGAATTTTAGACATAGTACCAAACAGTTTTTGTTTCTTTAAAAGTTGCACTATCCCTATTTCTTCAAATTCTTCCACATGCAACATCCTCTCAGAGTGAATTTTTCTTTGTGACATCACATTCCACAAAGAAACAGCTGGAGCAGAACTCGAAGTAGGAGGTGTAGGAGACTTACCAGGATGTGGACCAACAGTACTGGCCCGAGTGACTCTATAGGATCTGCCAGTCACCTCTAGTTCTTTCTTCGGCTTCTTGGTCTGAACTGGTGTCTTCTCTGACGTCTTGATTGGAACAGATGATTGTTTTGGCTTCTTGACAGACCCAGAAGTTTTCTTTGGTTTCTTCATATTCTCCACCCTTTCACTTTCAATATCGCTGTTGTCGGCGTCAAGCATCTGTTCTTCTACTAGCTGAAAGATAGGGTCGCTGTCCACTGAGGTTACACGCTGCTTAGACGAGTAAGAGGGAAACTCATCTACAATTCAAGTAGGTGATCGTGGTTTAAGGCCTTCAGGATACACCGGAAACTGAGATTTCCAGTAGGGAAAACCAGGCCGTGGAGGGGCAGTCATCAAATCTGGTGGATCATCTCCTGCTGTGGTTGAGATATTATCCCCGTCCAGAGTTGGATGGTTCCTCGAAGTGGTTGGAGAACCCTGTGGAGTAGTAAATACATTCTTGGATGATGGAAAGGGCTGGTTCGGAGAAGGTGATGCCCGTGGAGTGTTGGGCTTCGAGGGTTCTTTATCTTCTTGCGTCATCACAGTTATCGATGTATGAACGACCATCTCCTAAGGTTGAATCACGGCAAGAGGTACCGGAGATATGTCGGTGGGCTGCGATTGGCGATTACGCGAAGTGACAGACTTTCGCTTTGGAGATTTCTTCCTCAGAGGAGTTTTGGTGGAGGGGCGAGAAGGTCTTGTCATGGCCGTAATTACACGATCTTGGACAGCTTTCCGGAATCGCTCAACTTCGGCATCTCCCATAGATTTTGACATTCGTCTTGTGGACACCATTATTGCAGCGAAGAAAGAGAACGGCGAAGGCGATTTGGGGCTTAAGGATTTAGAAGAAGATGATGAATAGTTATTTCAGGAAGAATATGATGTTAAATACCCGTAGGCACAAAAACACACTGTCATTTTTTTTTACTTACTACACAACACATATTCCCAAAGCCGATCTTAGAGATTTAAACCTGACTGAATCTAATGCCTTTGTGAAGATATCAGCTAACTATTTTTCTGTTGCAACATACTCCAAACTGATCAGTTTGCGTTCCACCAAGTCTCGAATGCAGTGATGTCGTATATCAATATGCTTTGTTCTAGAGTGTTGAACCGGATTCTTTGATATGTTGATAGCACTCAAATTATCACTAATAAACAGTCAACAATTCTTGTGGGATTCCATAAGCACTCAACATTTGTTTCATCCACACTAGTTGTGTGCAACAGCTTCCTGCAGCAATATACTCAGCCTCGGCCGTAGATAATGAAATTGAATTATGCTTCTTACTGTGCCAAGAGACCATATTGTTTCCAAGATAGAAGCATCCTCCAGTATTACTCTTCCTGTCATCAGCACTGTCTGCCCAATCTGCAACACTAAATCCAACAAGACTAGAATTAGTATCATTTGAGTACCAAATACCATAGTCAGTTGTTCCACTAACATAGTGAATGATCCTTTTAACAGCTATTACATGTGACTCCTTTGGACTAGCTTGATATCTCGCACACACCCCAACATTGTAACAAATGTCTGGTCTACTAGCAGTTAAGTATAGAAGACTCACTATCATACTTCTATAGAGACTAGGATCCACAGTAATGCCACAAGCATCCTTTGTCAACTTGTCATTTGTTCCCATTAGTATTCTCACATGTCGAGACTGCTCAAGGCCAAATTTCTTCACAAGATTCCAAGCATACTTGCTTTGTGAAATAAAAATACCATTTTCCAGCTGTTTTATCTACAACCCCAGAAAGTAATTCAACTCACCAACCATGCTCATTTCAAATTCCTTCTTCATTTGATTCACAAATTCATCCACCTTTGCTTGAGAAGTAGAGCCGAATACAATATCATCCACATATATCTGAGCCATAATGATTCTGATGTTAAACTTCTTGATAAACAGTGTCTTGTCAACTCCTCCTCTTGTATACCCTTTCTTTTCAACGAAATTCATCAAACGTTCATACCATGCCCTTAGAGCCTGCTTTAGACCATATAGAGCCGTCTTGAGTCTATAAACATAATCTGGATGTTCTGGATCCTCAAAACCTTTTGGTTGTTCAACAAAAGCTTCTTCATTCAGGAACCCATTTAGGAAAGCACTTTTCACATCCATTTGGTGTAACTTGAACCTCGTCAAACATGCGATGGCCAGCAGTAATCGAATGGACTCAAGTCATGCAATCGGAGCAAATGTCTCATCAAAGTCAATCCCTTCAATTTGAGTGTAACCCTGAGCTACAAGTTGAGCCTTATTTCTGGTGATATTCCCATTTTCATCTGTTTTATTCTTGAAGATCCACTTGGTTCCAATAACATTGGAATTCATCGGTCTGGGAACTAACACCCATACATCATTTCTCACAAATTGTTTGAGCTCTTCTTGCATTGCATTTATCCAGTACTCATCTAGCAGAGCTTCCTTAACATTTTTTGGATCAATTGGAGACGTGTAGCAGACATACCTGACCATCTCACAATAGTTAATTCTTGGCTTGTCTCTGGTGCGCATTCCTTCATCTATTCGCCAATTACTTCCTCAGCTGGATGATTCCTCTTGATTCTGGATGACGGTTCTCTAGTCATCTGATTAGCTGCATCTAGGTCTTCTACCTCTTGCTCTGGCATTTGTGTCCCAAACGATGTCCCAACATCAAGTGTAACTTCATCAGCAGCACTGTCCTCCTCATGTCATTCCTCAAACATCTTGTCATCTTCTTCAGTAGACCGGTATATCTCATCATTTGCGAGTCTCTCTGATTCATTATTGAAGTCATCAATCACCACATTTATAGATTACATAATCGTTTGAGTCCTTTTGTTGTAAACCCTATATGCACGACTAGTGGAAGAGTATCCAAGGAAAACTCCTTCATCACTTTTTGCATCGAGCTTTCCTCTTTGTTCTCGATCATTCAGAATATATCACATACTTCTAAAAACATGAAAGTAACTGAGATTTGGCTTCCTTCCCTTCCATATCTCATACAGAGTGTTTATTATTCCTGGTCTGAAATAGACTCGATTCACCGTGTGACAAGCAGTATGAATTGCTTCTGCCCATAATCTATATGATAAGCGTTTTGAATTCAACATAACACGAGCTATCTCTTAAAGCATTCTATTCTTTCTTTCAACAATTCCATTTTGTTGAGGAGTCTTTGGTGCTGAAAATTCAAGAGCGATGCCGTGCGAGTTGCAATATTCGGCTAACATCGTGTTTTCAAACTCCCTGCCATGATCACTTCTGATTCTCACTATTTTTCCAATACTGCAGTCTTTCTCCCTTTGAACCTTTGAGCACAAATTCTAGAACACCTTGAAAGTGTCAGATTTCTCTCTAATAAAATCAACCCAAGTGAACCTGGAAAAGTCATCCACACACACAAATATATACTTCCTTCCACCAATGCTTTCAACCTGCATAGGACCCATAAGATCCATGTGAAGTAGTTCAAGAATCCGTGTTGTGGTTATGTATTGTAACACTTTGTGTGACACCTTTATCTGTTTTCCAATCTGGCAGGGTCCACATACTCCTAGTGGTATTGGTCCAATCTTAGGCATTCCTCTAACTGCCCCTGCTTCAACTATCTTCCTTAAGTTTCTGTAATTAAGATGTCCGAGCTTTGATGCCATACCTCAATTTCTTCTTTAGTAGTTTTGAAATACGATAGTGGGTGAATCGACATGTAGCAATTATAAGATGATCTTGATCCTTCCATTACACAATTTTCTTCCTCATCCATCACACGACACTTGTTTTTGGAGAAACTCACAAAAAGTTCTTGATCACACAACTGGCTAATACTTATGAGATTGGCCTTCAATCCTTTCACAAGTAACACATTCTTCAGCTTTGGTAATCCATCAACATCTAGAGTTCCTCTCCCAAGTACTCTCCCCTTAACACCATCACCAAAAGTCACATGTCCATCAGTCAAACTTTTGAAATTCTTTAGCAAACTTCTTTCACCAGTCATATGCCTAGAGCATCCACTATCAAAATACCAAGAGTTAGTCGTACTCGCTTTCAGAAACGTGTAAGCCACATAAAATCTTAAGTCGGATTTCCTCACCCACACTTTACGTGTACTTCTGTTATCTCCATCAATCTTCCTCCTTGGTGTCTTTCTTGCGACATTTGGTGAATTCAGATGCATACCTTGTTTTAAAGCATTCAGGTACTTGTAACACTGTGGCCGAATGTGTCCTGGAAAACTGCAATAGTAGCAAATGGGAATAAATGGTTTTTGTCGTGATGCATGGATAATTGTCTTGGAATGAGGGATTTTTGTCTTAGCCTGAGTCTTTTCTTTAACAAAGACTGAATTGGATGACTGGCATTCTCCACTGTAGCCTAGTCCAAAGTGATCATGACTGGATTTTCCCATAGATAAGATGTGGTCTAATTTCGCCGTACCGGTATTCATCATCTTCAAGGTCTTCTGAGTACGTTCTAATTCTGCATTAGCTTCCTGCAATCTTTTTCTCATTTCAGCAATCTCGAACTCGTGCATTTCAGCAATCTCGAACTCGTGCTTCATCTTTAGACTCTCATTCTCTTGTACAGCATCAGCCAATTTCTTCTCAAGTGACTTGTTCAACTTGACCACCTGAATCCATTTGTTGAACATTGATTCATAAGCATCCTGAATAGTCTCCTGTGTTAGTTCTCCATCATTACTGAAACTGTCCGAATCAGAAATATCTCCATTTTCTTCTGGTTTTTCTGACTGTATTATAGATGATGTTCCAACATCGTTTGTGACACAAGCTGCAACACCGTTGTTAGAAACATCCTGATATATATTGAAAGTAACATAATTGTTCACATGATCTTCATTTTCCTGGCTACCATCAAATTCTTCATCGCTCCATATCACGTTGAATGTTTTCTTCTTCTTCTTAAGCGTATTTGCGCATTCCGATTGGATGTGTCCATTCCGTCACACTCTCGACACTGGATGCCTCAATTTCGTGGCTTGGCTTCTAAATTGCTTGCAACATCTGTATTCTTCTAGAAGTTGTTGAATTTGTCAGAATTTAGGGTGAATCCCTTACCTTTTACTCATTTCAGAATGCGATTAAAGTTCTTTGTCAAAAGAGCAAACGACTCTACCAAAGCTTGTGGATCTCCTATATCTTCTTCCACAGTCAGTTTTTGCACTTTTGCTTGAAAGGCTGTCTCTTTCTCCTTCTTATTCTGGTCCAAGTTCATCTCAAATGTTCTCAATGATCCCATAAGCTCATCAAGTCTCATAGCTTGAACGTTTTTTGCCTCTTCAATAGCTGTCACTTTGTAAGCAAATCTCTGTGGTAGTGATCTCAGGGTTTTACTGACAAGTTTTGCCTATGAGATTTTTTCACCAAGCGCAAAAGATTCATTAGCTATATCACATAATCGTGAATTAAATTCAGAAATAGTTTTAGTTTCAAGCATACGAAGATTTTCAAACTTGGTTGTGAGCATGTTCAATTTTGATTGTCTAATTGCGGCTGTTCCTTCATGTGCTACCTCCAGAATTTCCCATGCTTTTTTTGTCGATTCACATGTGGATATCATTTTGAACTGGTGAACATCCACTCCATTAAATATTGCATTGAGCGCACGTGAGTTGTAGTTGGCCAACCTGTCTTCATCAGTGCTCCATGACTCTTCAGGCTTGAGAATCTCATTTCCTTCTACATCCTTTGTTTATGGATGCTTCCATCCGATCAGGATTGCACGCCATGCTCGTTCATCTTGAGCCTTGATGAATTCCTTCATCCGAGCCTTCCAATAAGAATAATTTGAGCCATCAAGGAGTGGTGGACGTGAAACTGAACCTCCTTCCTTCAGCAAATCCATCTTAGACGTAGCAGATCAAATTTTCAAGATCTCACTGAACTAATGGTCAGTGAACCTTTACCACTTGTTAGATCTGATGTTACGCCTGATGTCCCAGATGATGTTGGAACACTTATCTGGGACACTACTTGCACAATTTTCTATATCGATTAATCCTAAGTCACAAAGAACAATAGTGCAATAAAAAGTAAATGAACACGCAATATGGTATCGCAGTTCGGTGCGTACACCTACTCTGCGGGGCCACGCCCAGACAGTAAACAGTTTCACTATGATTTAAGAATTACAACCCTGACGGACTTAATTACTCAAGGACTCCCTCCTAGACTATAACGCCGCTGTGATGAACTCCCACAATGACACTGTTTAGCGTGTACCACACGTCTTCACCTTTCACTACTAAACTCCCTTCAGTTGTTCAAACTTTCAACGTGAAACACACAACTACAGATTGTTCTTCTTAATCACGGTCTCTCTGTAACTAGACTTTTCTGTAGTCAACAACCTCTCTCCTTTCTACAGAGTTTCTCTCATATAAAACCATTCCACGTATCTATGACTTTTGAACCTCTAACTGTTACCAAAAAATCCTCCTCAGCATTATCTACAGCATCTCACTTTTTGAGTTTTTAATTCCAAAACTTACGGATTCACCTTTTCAAAATTTAATGAATCAAATGTCCTCAGGAGATAAAACCAACAGCTGATAAAGGATGATCTCATGATCCGTATTGGCTTAGCCTCATCCGATTTTCCACAAGCTGATCTCCAAGTCAACAAATCTGATTTTTCTGCACAAAATCCGATTCTTCTTCAAAACAAACAGCCATCTGGATAATGTCTTATAGAACCTAGTTTTTGAATCTGTACAACCAAAAACTATTTTGCCAACACAGCCAATTAAAAAAAAATAGAAACCTAACAGAAGCTATATCAATGTCTCTACCCATGGAATCCCACCTCCGACGACCAAGACAAGTCGTCTCCGTTAGGAAGTAGATAACATAACAATCTTAACATGAATAAAGCGCCCAACTTTATTCCCTCGATTGTGGATCATATGATTTAGACTATCATCTTTAGATTCTTGTCTTCCACATGTTCTTCACATTACATGCATGACCTAAAGATTTAGAATGACAGTCTCAGACTTTCAGTTTGCTTATCATACATTCAACTAATATGAACATAACGAGGACAATACATAGATATATAAAATAAATAAATCTTTATTAATAGTCAAAATGTCTCAAAGAACATTGTTACATTTATTCCTAAGGGCATAAATGCTAACATATATATATATATATATATTATGTATCGAATTTATTTCAAAGGACCTCACCTTGCTCTAATGCATATTTCATCTTTGTATATGTATAAAGTGGAGGCCGTGCCAGCCCGGCTCGGAGTGGACAGTCCAAATAGAAATTTCGGGCCGGGTTGGCTCAAAATTTATAATGTGTTTTTAAGAAAAAATTATAAAAGAGTGACCGGTAAAGATTTCAAGTTCGAAACCTCAAATTGGCATGAGCCTATCTGAACACTTAGGTGTGTCCGGCTACGGCCCAACCTAAACTTTCACCTCTAGTATAAAGTATTTCAAATGGCAACGTTCCTTGCTCTGATGCATAATTAACTTTTAAAACACAAAAGACAAAAATAATTAAATGCATCATTGTTATAAGGGATAAGTATCGAAATGGGTGCGTTTGGAACTCGTTCCAAAATGATTTTATTTTTTGTATGAAAATAGAAATGAAAATGTTTTCAATCTCAGACAGAAATCATTTTTGAAAATACATTTGGTAGTTTTATCAAGAGTTATTTTCAGTATAAAAAATTGATTAATGTATGTCTCTCTCTCTCTCTCTCTCTCTCTCTCTATGCTCGAGAGAGGAGAAAATGGAAACAAAAAATGAAAAATGACTAAAAGTCATTTTTTATTTCTCTCCCATTTTACATTAATCCAAAATATCGTTTTCATTTATGTTTTTTTATTTTTAATTATGTCAAACGTCATTTCTCTCCCGTTTTTATTTTTTTTCTCAAAAAACGTGAAAAATAAAAACAAAACCAACTACCCTGTTTGGAGTTAGTTTTGTTTTTGTTTTTTACGTTTTTCGAGAAAGAAAAAATGAAAACGTTTCCAAAACGGCGTTTGACACAATTAAAAATAAAAAACGGAAATGAAAATAATTTTTTGATTTAGTCTAAAATGAGAATGAAATGAAAAACGTCTTTTAGTCGTTTTTCATTTTTTGTTTCCGTTATCTCCTCTCCGAGCACAAAGAGAGAGATATATATTAATGGATTTTTTTATACTGAAAACAATCTATTGATAAAATTACCAAACACATTTTCAAAAATGATTTCTGTCTGAGATTGAAAATATTTTCATTTCTATTTTCATACAAAAAATAAAATCATTTTGAAACGAGCTCTAAATGCTTTCACTCTAAGTTTTTAAGAATTTTAAGAGTCGCAATTATCCCTTTTATTTTTTAATTTCATGTTAAATTCTACTTTTTGATTAAATTTGATCAAATTTATAGTGTGAAAAAGACAAATTCAACTCAATGCTTTAGCCGAATTGGTCAGACTTTATGGTTAAAAACTTAAAATGGTCTTTTCACATTGTATTTATGATCGGAAAAAAAGGCAGATTTTTAACATGAAATTAAAAAAAACAGAAGATGATCATGACATTCGTATATGTTGATAAATTACATAGAAAATTAAGGCCCCGTTCATTTCGCTGATTCGAGTTTTGTTACAGTAAAAAGGTCTCACAAACAATCACATCTAACTTTTTTACTACAGTAAAAAGCTCTCATATAAAATCACATCTCAACTCAAATTAAAAACTCAAATCAGCGAACTAAACGGGCCCTAAGTACTTATCACTTATAGTAATGCGTTGCACCATTATGAGAAGGAGGATTGCAGGTCAGTTGACTATTAAAAGAGGGAAATTTTGAAAAGAAAAAATAAATAAAAATTAATTTTAAAGCAAAAATTTCTGGTTCGGCATAATTTATCTGCAATAAGTTTGAATTTTAGTTAAAAAATAATGAAAAAGAAAATATACTTTTTAGATTTTTTTAAATTATTTAGAAGATTTTTTAGTACGCTTAGATGGTATATTATGTTTTTTTAACTATTAATCTATATATTTTTTAATTTTTATATAATTTTATATAAATTTGAAGAAGAAAAAATCTAACTTATCGATATATTAATATACCGGAGAATGTCATAATTTATTTTGTTTGTCTTAATCTGAACTTAAAAAATTGGCAACTATTATTGGCCTTGCTGTCCAAAGAAGGAATGCATGTCAAATATGACTTAAATTAACGGTCGCGATCGATTTACAAAAGAGATTGTACATCTTTGCGAGAGATATATAATATGAGTAAGCGTAGTGTATTACCCTTAAAGTCAAAGCTACTGTTCGAACTGCTCCACCAGGGAAAGGGGGATTTTTGGCATTCTCTGTCATTGTTTCTCCTTTTTTTTTTTTTCTAAATATTTTTTTCTTTTTATTTTTTGAAAGAATATCGTTCATTTCGCTGATTCGAGTTTATAATTCGAGTTAAGATGTGACTTTATGTAAGAGTTTTTTACTGTAGTAAAAAAGTTAAATGTGATTGTTTGTGAGAGCTTTTTATTATAAAAAAATTTAAATTTTAAACTCGAATCAGCAAAATGAACGGGACTATTTTGCTCTTTGTTATTAGGCTGTGTTCTTTCTAGGGAGTTATTAGGCTGTGGCGCTGTGCTAGTGTGCTAGTTTTCTATTTTATTTTCTTTTTCTTTCTGGTTAGAAAAAGTGAGATTTTTTTTTTTTTACCAATCATCAAAAGAAAAAAAGGGCATGTTTTTTTTTTTTTTTTTTTTTTTTTTTTTTTTTTTTTTTTTAAATCAGAAAAGAATATGCGAGGTCTTAACTTTATTTGAGGTTGGAGGAGGCTGATGTGTTCCAAAGGTTAATCAAATTAAATTTTACTTAAATTTTCATTATTGAGTATAGTAGTAAGTATCATTCTCGTAGATGATTGATCTTAATTAATAAGTCATTAATTTTGCTGAATAAAAATATAAATGAAGGGGGTTTCGATTAATAAAGTAAATGAAATAAAATTAAAAAGGAAATTGAATAAAGCAATTTTTAAATTTAATAAAAGAAAACAATCGATAAAACTAGAATCAATTTCCACCACTAAACAATATAATTATGACAAATAAGTAATATTATCTCTAACTGCCTATCGAAACTATCAACTGTATATAAAAATAAATTTTATTACACAATCTTTACTTAGTTTGTGATTAAGCAAAACAAGCTATTCACTTAATCTCTTTGCATGAAACAACCTAGAATAAGCTCTTTAGATTCAATTCAACGGAAGCATTAAGATAAGAAAGATATGTTGATTTAAGCAACAATCACATAAGCTCGGATTATCCAACTCAGGTTATGTTCCACATGCAATCAAACAAAAGTCGTCCGCAATTTGCTACTTATGAATAGAAAATCAAGACAATTACGGATCAAGAATCGCAATCTATCATCATATAATCTCAAATCCTATTTAGTTGGCCACCCAAACAAAACAAGAAAACTATCATAAACAATAATTATGGAAGAACTAAGCAATTTCCATTGAAATTAGAAGACAATATCAAAACATTTTATCACAAATTTATGTTTAGGGTTTTAAAATCACCCTTAACCAAAAGAAAGTTTGACCAAAGAAAATCTAACCTAACATAATTGAAAACTAAACAAATAAAAATAAACTAATGTCATTTGGAGTTCAAGAGAAGAAAAGAAAAGATGAAAACTCTAACGATCTTGAAGAATTTTGTACATAGACGAATTTCTTTAAGTTTTAATGGATTCTTTTTTGCTTCTCTCTCTCCAAAGACGACTACTAAAAGGTGAGCAAAAGTTGTTTGTATGAGCCCTAGAACACACCTATTTATAGGTCTCCAAAGTTGGACTCAAAATAGAAAAGTTTGGAGTGCTTTTGACCATATTTACTGTAATTTTTCACATCGTAGCACCGCGGCGCTACAAAAAACTTAACAGAGGGGAAAAACGGCCAGCGTTGCAGTGCTAGAAAAGTAGTGCCACGACGCTACTTTGGGTTGCACATGGGTGCCGAAGTGCTAGTCTGTTATGCAGATGGGCATTGTGGCGCCCTTGTTTCGGCGTATAGCGCTCTTATCTTGAGTTTTTGGCCGGAATTACACATCAGAGTGCCTTGACACCCGTTTTCTTGAGATTCGGCGTCCAAGACTTGTCCAAAGTGTCTTTTGAACTCCAAAATTGAAACACCTATAGAACTCAAACACACAAATGAAACACAAAATACTCAAGAATAAAACAAGTAAACATGAGAGAATTAATGGGAAATTATGTGAACTTTAGCACTTACAGTGGCAATCAAAAGTTTATTTAGTCGAAGATTTTTTTTAAATATATATATCCTTAAAAAATAAAAACTAGCAGTTCAAGAATTTCTACGCTCTCTTTATTTTTATTTTTTTTAAAGATAATCTTAATCCAAAATTTTATTACACATGAAGATAACGATTACTTGCATTCTTTGAGATCCGAATATGAATTAAATTTGTGATATTTTCCTTTTTTAGGTATGATTTTTCTACCTTAAAATTTTGCCAAAGAAAATGATTTCTACAGTAAAATTATTTATGTCCGATTATGTCCAAAATAAGAAAAGGCCACATCATTCAAAATAATTCGGGGCCTGTTCTTTTGGAATGTGACTTGAGTTGAATTTGAGTTATAACTTGAGTTGAAGTTGTAACTTGAGTTTGTATTTAGTTGTGTACATTTGAGTTATGGTTTGAGATAAAAATCTTTTTGAGTTTGTGTTTGAGTGGGTCAAAAACTTGAATTTGTATTTAGATAGTATTTTAATAAAAACTCAATGGTGATGAAAAATTTTAATAGAGCATATGGGTGGGGTTTTATTCGTCTTTTCGTTTTCAATGCATAGAAAAAAAATCATCACAATCAGGATTAAAACGAAAAAGTTATAACATTTTTAAGAATATAAAAAATATTATATTCCCTCAACCCACAACGTGACAAGAGAGTTTTGCTTTTTTTTTTCCCCTAGATAATGATATATACTTTTTGTCATAATTATTAAACTTTAAAACTTTTTTAAAAGAATAGACTTTCTTTTTGTCATAATTATTAAGTTTTAAAACTTGAAAAAAAAAATGTTGAGAGAAGTAGTGGTAGTGAGAAAGAAAAGAAAGAGAGAACCAAAATTAATATAATTAATGTTATAATCCCATCTATATTAATTTTCTTTTATATTGCTATTTATTTACCTTGCATTTTATAATTATTAAATATATTCCGTGAATTTTATTTTTATTTTTATTTTTTTTTTAGGGAAAGTGATATTTATTATTCAATCCAAAGTCTGCAAGAACAAAAAAGCCAATAAAGTTTGACAAACAATCAAACCAAACACAATTCCTAATTAACTTGCATACACGTAAAATTAACCAAACAATAGGCTACAAAGTTCCCTTGTTGGTTTAACCAAACAATAGGCTACAAAGTTCCCTTGTTGGAGAATATAGCAAACACTTCCACTAGTAGCTTTAGACGTAGCTTCCCTAACATCTTTGATGATAGAAGCTTCAAGGCTTCTCGAATCTGGTCCTCTAACTGCGGCCCGTTCACTTCACTAACTTCAATTTTATGATTTGAGTAAGAAAAGTGAACTTGAGTTGTTTTTAATTAGAGTTATAATGTGAAATTTGAGTTACATGTTTAGTAAGAGATTGATGTGACATTTACAATTTGAGTTTTGTGTTCACTTGCACAAATCTAAACTCACCACTTACATAAGATATTACATTGGATTTATATTCATTTTCTGTACCTACATAAGCCAATGCTAATAGTCTTGCAAGCATTGTACGTGAGGCAGCTCAAATAACTACATAAAAAATTCTGCAGAGGCATTATACAACTTCAAACCAAGAAAAATGAGCATGTTGTACGGCAGGGATGAGCAAAAACGACATCCATCTCCTGGAGACAAAATGAAAACGACGCAATGAGTGGAGTTGGCAGTGTAATCATCCACGCATATGCAGAGGCACAAAACAATGCAACAAGCAAAATGTTATGACAGTATAGGACATCAAACAACGCCTAATTCCAACAGAACAACACAAACAAATAAAAATTGTATTTGACATGCATTTCTATTCTTCGTAATTATATATATATATATATAAATGTATATATATATATATAACAATCTGGGTGGGCATTATAAAGGCATTAAAGTAATATATAAAAACAAACATTTCACCGCTGGTTGTTTTCATATGCAGCCCACATACTATTAGCAATTTCATCCCTCAATACATGCATTTGTCGTCTGTGCGGACAGTTTTGATGTTGTTGTGTTCCCCGATCAGGATTGTGATTCTGATTCACATCTTGATCCATGTTGAGTGGATCAATTTCTGCTACCGGAACGGCGTCTCTCATGTATTGGGTGAGTAGATCATCGTTGTGGTTGTACATATGTATGAAGTTATGTAAAATAGCACAAACAAGTGGAATATCTATTTGTGTCTGTATCGGGTAGTTATTAATGCACTTAAGAATACGAAACCTGACTTTCCAGACGCCAAATGTGCGCTCGATACAGTTGCTGAGTGAAGAATGTGTGTAGTTAAATAACTCCCGCTGCGTTTGGGGCCGACCCCGCCTTGCCCGATACTCTTGAAGGTGGTAAGTGCTCCACCGGTACGGTGCCAGGAAACAATCAGTGTTTGCGTACCCAGAGTCGACGAGGTAATATTTACCTGTTATGTGCGTTAGAATATATTACGTGAATGTATTAGTTCCACATGGAAGCACAAACATGTAGTTTTCCAAAATTAATGGAAGATCAAGCGTACACATACCTTCTGGTGGAGTAGGGAAATTTTTTTTTCTCGTTTCTGTTGCAGATGCAAGTACACGTGCATCATGAGCAGAGCCCTCCCATCCAGCTAACATGTAGGTGAACCTCATGTCGACCGAACAGACTCCTAATACATTTTGAGAGAAGAACCCCTTCCGATTTCTCCATACCTCAGCATTTGCAGCGGGTGGAACACATGCTACGTGAGTACCATCAAGAGCGCCAACACAATTCTACGTAGTAACTAATTACCATACGCAACAACGCAATTCTACATATTTATCTTAAAGAGTAATTAGTTTAGGAAAAATACCTGAAACCATGGCAGATACTTGTTTCCACGCGCGGCTACGACGGGATCGATAATGTCAAAGTTTGGTGGTGTAAGGAAGTCAAAACGGAGCTCATACAACGCCTTCAAAACAGCATGGAAATACTTTGAAATGGTAGCACCCGAATGCTGCCATTGATCTTGTAACTCCCTGTTGTTTGAACTTTGACATGTATAGGAAAATAAAAAGTTGCT